GCTGAGGCAACGGCAAAGGTGGTCCATTCTTTCTTTGATTGAGGTGGAATCACTACCGTACTTTCCTCAAGTCCCATACAACGTACAACTAATGGTAAGAAAAGACTTTTATTTCGAAATATCCATACAGGTTCTAACTGTACAACTGGAGTAGATGCAAATACTTTTTTTATACCACCCAAACGATGTGCTTTAAATATTCGAACAATATTCCCATCTATACTTTGAAGCATACTAGAATAAGCAGGGGTATTACACGCAAATAATTGTGAATATTTGGCGTTAGAACTACCAGCAAGAATTCGTACAGAAGCAATTGTATTATTATTATTAACCGTAAACAAGTAATTACCCACACTCTCTGGATGGACCCCAGCACAGTGCTCAGCACACGGCCATGCAGCCCAGCACAGAGAGCAGCAGCAGCAGCACGAGTGGAACACGCAGTAACGCAGGGCTGCTGCTGCCGTCATTTCGTTTGGTGCCATTCGTTATTGTAGCATTATTGGGTAGACGAGATGTTTCATTTGTCTGTTCCTGTGGCTGTGTTTGAGGCTCCACCTGTTTTTCTTCCTCCTTCTCTTTGGCAGCAACAACTGCGGCATCGAGTTGCTGTAGGAGTTCCAATACAAGATAAGCAAGCTTTACCGCTTTTTCGGCATGTTGTTCAGCATCAAGTGCCGCTTTTTCTGCCTCTTTAATTGCTTCATTAGCTGCCTCAGCTTGTTCTCCCGTCAAATAAATACGGACTAGCTCTTTAGTTTCAGGTATCCTCTTTGTCGTTTGTTCGGCCACTTCTCCTGCTTTCTTTGCAGCCTTCATTGCCTTTTCACTGAGTTCATGACCTTTACTCTTCGTTTCCTCCACCTCATTTGGGTTAGCAGCAATTATTTTGAGTTTAACCTTAGTGGTATCAAAAAATTCTTGAGCTGCATACGCGGCCTCTTTAGCATCCTTGGTGGCCTTCTCACACTCCTCCTTCAATTTCTTGGTCTTTTCCACAAACTCTGTTTTTCCATCCACTTGTCCTACGCTCCTTTGTGAAGCAGCAGCATGAGTCACATCCACACAGCAGAGCACAATGGCCAACAGACACAACACACGGCACGACAAGATGGACATTCTTGTTATTAATATCACTGAGGATCACTGAAATCTGTGAGTGTGTAAAGAGAGAGAGAGAAAGAGAGAAAGCAAAACACCAATACACCGCTATTACCATACACACACACATATGGAATCAAGCAAAAATGCAAAGGCAGTATACACACTAGGTAAAATATCCACCATTTGAACAAAATTAAACTCCATCCAATCCCAAATAAAAAAGAAAAGATATACAAATTGAATATTATTTGGTAACATTGCAGAGATAGCCACACACACAAAAACAATAATAACGGAGAATGTATAAACCTCTCTTCATGTGTTGGTTTCTCCCTGTCCCCATTACAATTTGCAATGTCCCCAGAGGAACAAACAAACAAACTGTAACGTTACCTCATTCGGATATAATGTAAAAGCATATATAAAAAAGAAAAGAGATATCATTTACCAGAATCACACAATTGCAGAGTGAGACACACAATGAGGTGCACAGCAATGCTCTGCTTACAAGTATAAAAA